CTCATAGAAGAGTTTGGCAAAGTAGCAGGGTATAAAATCAATGCACAAAAATCAACAGCCTTTGTATACACAGACAATGCCATGGCTGAGGAAGAACTTCTAAGATCAATCCCATTCACAATAGCTACCAAAACAATCAAATACCTTGGAATAAACTTAACCAAGGACGTTAAAGATCTCTACGAGGAAAATTACAAAACCTTAAAGAAAGAAATAGAAGAGGATACCAAGAAATGGAAAAATCTTCCATGCTCATGGATTGGAAGAATCAATATCATCAAAATGTCCATTCTCCCAAAAGCAATTTATAAATTCAATGCAATACCAATCAAGATACCAAAGACATTCTTCGCAGATCTGGAAAAATTGGTGCTGAAATTTATATGGAGGCACAAGAGACCTCGAATAGCTAAAGCAATCTTGTACAACAAAAACAAAGCTGGAGGCATCACAATACCAGATTTCAGGACATACTACAGGGCAGTTGTAATCAAAACAGCATGGTACTGGTACAGAAACAGATGGATAGACCAATGGAACAGAATTGAAACACCAGAAATCAACCCAAACATCTACAGCCAACTTATATTTGATCAAGGATCTAAAACCAATTCCTGGAGCAAGGACAGTCTATTCAATAAATGATGCTGGGAAAACTGGATTTCCACGTGCAGAAGCATGAAGCAAGACCCCTACCTTACGCCTTACACAAAAATCCACTCAACATGGATTAAAGACCTAAATCTACGACCTGACACCATCAAGTTACTAGAGAACATTGGAGAAACCCTTCAAGATATTGGCACAGGCAAAGAGTTTCTGGAAAAGACCCGGGAGGCACAGGCAGTCAAAGCCAAAATCAACTATTGGGATTGCATCAAATTGAGAAGTTTCTGTACTGCAAAAGAAACAGTCAGGAGAGTGAAGAGACAACCGACAGAATGGGAAAAAATATTTGCAAACTATGCAACAGATAAAGGGTTAATAACCAGAATCTACAAAGAGATCAAGAAACTCCACAAAAACAAAACAAACGATCCACTTAAGAGATGGGCCAAGGACCTCAATAGACATTTTTCAAAAGAGGAAATCCAAATGGCCAACAGGCACATGAAAAAATGCTCAAGGTCATTAGTAATCAGGGAAATGCAAATCAAAACCACAATGAGGTTTCACCTCACCCCGGTGAGAATGGCTCACATTCAGAAATCTACCAACAACAGATGCTGGAGAGGATGTGGGGGAAAAGGGACACTAACCCACTGTTGGTGGGAATGCAAACTGGTCAAGCCACTATGGAAGTCAGTCTGGAGATTCCTCAGAAACCTGAAGATAACCCTACCATTCGACCCAGCCATCCCACTCCTTGGAATTTACCCAAAGGAATTTAAATTGGCAAACAAAAAAGCGGTCTGCAGCCTAATGTTTATTGCAGCTCAATTCACAATAGCTAAGACCTGGAACCGACCTAAATGCCCATCAACGGTAGATTGGATAAAGAAATTATGGGATATGTACTCTTTAGAATACTATACCGCAGTAAGAAACAACGAAATCCAGTCATTTGCAACAAAATGGAGGAATCTGGAACACATCATGCTGAGTGAAATAAGCCAGACCCAAAGGGACAAATACCATATGTTCTCCCTGATCGGTGACAACTAACTGAACACCAAAAAGGAAACCTCCTGAAGTGAAACGGACTCTATAGGAAACGGTGACTTGATCAGCATAGCCCTGACTGTTAATGAACAACTTAATACATTATCCCTCTTAGTAGTTTTTTTGTCTGTTCTACTTAATATGACTGGTTTAATTCTGTAATTAATACACAGTTATTCTTAAGTGTTAAAAATTAACTGAAATGTGATCCCTGTTAAACATAAGAGTGGGAATAAGAGAGGGAAGACATGTATAATTTGGGACATGCTCAAGCTGACTTGCCCCAAATGGTAGAGTTAAAAACATACCAGGGGATTCCAATCCAATCCCATCAAGGTGGCATGTGCCAATGCCATCTCACTAGTCCAAGTGATCAATTTCAGTTCACAATTGATCATAATGAAAGGACTAAGAGTCAAAGGGAGCACATAAACAAGTCTAGTACCTGCTAACACTAACCGATGGAATAAATAAAGGGGAGAGTGATCCAACATGGGAAGTGAGATACTCAGCAGACTCATTGAATGGCAGATGTCCTAAATAGCACTCTGGCCTCAGAATCAGCCCTAAAGGCATTCAGATCTGGCTGAAAAGCCCATGAGAGTATTTCAGGCATGGAAAGCCAAGACACTCTGGCAAAAAGATCTCTGTGAGTGAGATCCCAGTGGAAAGAACAGGTCTTCAAAGAAGGAGGTACCTTTCTCTGAAGGGAGGAGAGAACCTCCACTTTGACTATGACCTTGTCTAAACAAGATAAGAATCGGAGAACTCAAGGGGCTTCCATAGCCTTGGAAACTCATGACCGGAGCATAGGGAGACTACTGATGCCATAGACAGGAGTGTCAATTGGTAAAGTCAACAACAGGAGTCACTGTGCACTTACTCCTCATGTAGGATCTCTGTCCTTAATGTGCTGTGTATTGAGATTTAATGCTATAACGAGTACTCAAACAATATATTTCACTTTGTGTTTTTATGGGGGTGCAAACTGTTGAAATCTTTACTTAATGCATACTAAACTGATCCTCTGTAAAAAAAAAAAAAGAAAGAAAGAAATTATCAACTCCCAACTTGACTCTCACTGGGATTAAACATGACAATAGGTCTGATCTGATTTCATCATCATTTAAAAAAAATCATCTATTATTTCTCTCTTTATATTTCTGTGTGAGAGCAAACTGTTGAAATCCTTACTTAATGTATACTAAGCTGATCTTCTATATATTAAGATAATCGAAAATGAATCTTGATGTGAATGGAAGGGGAGAGGGAGTGGGAAAGGGGAGGGTAGTGGGTGGGAGGGACGGTATGTGGGGGAAGCCATTGTAATCCATAAATCGTACTTTGGAAATTTATATTCATTAAATAAAAGTTAAAAAAAAATAATATTTACCCTTCCTAATAGTACTGCCATCATATAGTTCACATATATCATATTAACATTCCTCAGTCACATGTTAAATCATTAATTAATTAATTAATTTAACTATCTTTTACATTCATATTTTTGCTTGCTGTGATCGGCTATAATAGGTTCAGATAGGGAATCTCTCTATTATTTAACATGGCAAATTCTAGCTTTATATTACCCTTTAGGACTAAAAGTAGGATTTGGACAACTACAGCTTTTATTTAAGTAAGACGGGCAGGGCACAGCGAAAAACCACAACAGTATAGGTGCTTCACCGCTGTGAGGCTGCCCTTCCAGAATTCCACAGGCACATAAAGCTTTTTAGAGTCTGTGACACTTGAAAGACTGATTAGTTACACTGTCTGAGTGCTAGAAAATAAAGATGTCAAGTGTTTCACTTACCATCTCATTTCTGGAATTCATAAACAAATTGTAAAAATGTTGTCACTTGCCACATTCTGAAGTGCTTCCTGTATACAAGGCATCATTCTACACATAAAGCCCGCCTGGGATCTGAGGAAACAAATGACACAGTCCTGGGAAGGGAGATGGAATATGGATACAAATAAGAACACAAACTACCCAAATTCTCCATATTTACTATAGAAAAGTCGACAGTATAATATTCAAATGAGTTTCAAGGTACACAATGCTTCTCACATATATTTTATAGAACTGTGAGACAAGCAGCAGAACTAATGTACCCTAAGCACAATGAACTCAAAGTATTTCTTCAAAAATATATATGGTCCTCTACAATGCTAAAATGTACTAATATTGAATCTACACTTTCTTTTCCTAAAAAAAGTCAAGATCTTATGCAACTTAGTTCAGTATAGAAATTCTCAAAGAATACTGAAAATACTTTATACTTTGTTGTTCCTGGGTTTTCTTGTTATAATAAACATCTACTGTTTATTATATTATGTTATCATAAATGCATCATGTTTTCATAAACATTTACTAAAGAAAAATTCAAATTGTGAAGTGAATGGTAACAAAAATAAATAAAATACACATTTCTTTACTACTGAATCCTTTCAAATAATTACTGTTTGAGCCGTAACTGCCCTGTTTGCTGAAGAGCCCTAAAGGCCATTAACAAACAGCACTTAATTAATCACATTTGCATTTTAACTTTATTAGGTACCCCGAAAGAAGTCTTTAGTACTGTAAAAGATATATGGGAAAAACAAAAGACAAATTATAATAAAGGTTAATACTACATGTACATTTGTTCTAATCAGTGTACTGTAGGATAGGAGAGCAACAGATATCTGATGTAAGCTCATTTACAAGAATTTGGGATATCACAGTTTCTGTTACTCATTATTTCTGCAGATAATCACATATCACAGTAATATTTAAATATTATCACATTTTAAAAGCACAAGTCATAATTTCTCACTATTCTAAGATTAGAATCCTCTAAGATATTGGATCTTATACATTATTTTGTAATATTCTATATCTCTGTATATACTACCTACCTACAAGAATTCTTTTTTTTTTTTGACTGGCAGAGTGGACAGAGAGAGAGAGAGAGACAGAGAGAAAGGTCTTCCTTTTGCCATTGGTTCACCCTCCAATGGCCACCGTGGTCGGTGCTCTGCGGCCAGTGCACCACACTGATTCAATGGCAGGAGCCAGGTGCTTATCCTGGTCCCCCATGGGGTGCAGGGCCCAAGCACTTGGGCCATCCTCCACTGCACTCCCTGGCCACAGCAGAGAGCTGGCCTGGAAGAGGGGCAACCGGGACAGAATCCAGTGCCCTGACCAGGACTAGAACCCTGTGTGCCGGCGCTGCAAGGCGGAGGATTAGCCTAGTGAGCCGCGGCGCCGCCCTACCTACAAGAATTAAAAGTCTCTTCAGAGTCCAAAGCAGAACTTGGTTTTTCTTCCATTTTTATTACAATCTCCTGGAAAAAATTAAAAAACACACTAAAATAATGGAGATTACAAAGCAACATTTCAGTTAAGAAACAGCTGTGTAACAGTTCTATGCAGTATATTAGCCAAAAATAAAATGTCCCCTTGCCCCTTCCCTAAATTATCTTCTGTACTTCTTTTAGGAAAAATACTCATCTTGAAGCCACAATATAAACCAACAGTACTCCTAATTTGCATAATAATGCTATCAATGTAATTACTAAGAAGAATAAATGAGTATAGTACAGGTTTTTTTCTTACAAATTTATACATTTCAACTTCGTCTGTAGAATAAAAATACTTTTACTAAAGAAACTGAAAATGCTAATCAATGCCAATATAATATATATAACATATATATTAAGTATAAATATAAGTTCTCAGAATATATATTGTAAAGTTTAGTTATGAAACAATAGTTCCTCATGATTAAACAGATCATTCGTTCTCCAAAAAAATTATAAAACTGACAGAAAATCCTAAAATGCATAAACCATTTAGTTACATGCTAGCATTTTCATAAAATGGAGTTTTCTGTTGGTGAGCAAGTCTCCATGCTAACAACTGGGACAGCCAAAGAAAAAACTCAGGAGAGAACAGACCCGGAAGGTTTTCCAGCTCCCATTTCTCCACCTGCTAGAAATTGAGGAGGTAGAGATGAACAGAAAGCAGATTTGGTAGGCGGTGGCCAGAAACAGATTTTAGGGTGGCAGGGGCGGCGCCGGGAGCTGCGTCCACAAGCCAAGGGCAGCTGAGGGGCCGGGCAGGCCCGAGTGCAGAGCCCGCCTGCGCCAGCTCCCTCGCCTCCTGTTCTCTGGTAGCTTCCTGAGCCCGCCGGCATCCTGCGCTGGCGTGGCGCCATTCAGGTACAGGATCCCGTAGTCCTCGGCCACCAGGACTCCAGGCTGCGGAAGATGTAGCTGCGCGGGCCAAGGCGTCGGGGTCAGGGCGGCCGCGCCTGGCCAGGCCCAGGCCTCCCCCGCGGTCCTTGGGGATCCGGGGGTCCCCGCTCGGGCAAGGCGCGGAGCTCGGGGGGCCGCGGGCGCTGGGGAGGGGGGGAGCTCTGGGGAGGGGGCCAGGGGGCTCTGGGGAGGGGCGGGGGGCACTGGGGAGGGGGCCGGGGACTCTGGAGGAGGGGGCCTTGGGGCTCTGGGGAGGGGGCCATGTTGCAGCCCCTCGGGCCCCCGCAGGACCGGTCTGGCTATGGCTCTGGTGACGGTGAGGGTGTTCACGGTATTCGTGGTGATGATAATGTGATGTTGATGGTGTTAGTGATGGATGTGTGTGGTGCTGGTGGCTGCGGAGCCCCGGGGCCCAAGAAAGGCCCAGGCCTTGAGAGTGGGCCAGCAGGGGGAGCCCGGGCAAGCGGTACCTGCCCGGCCCTGCTGGCCCCACCCCGCCTGCCCTGCCCATCCTGGCCCCTCCCCGACCGCTCACTGGAAGTGGTTCTCCAGGACGTAGTGGTAGTCCTGGCAGCTGCTGTCTGGGAGGAAGCTGGCAGCATAGACCATGATGGCGTTGAGGCCCTCGCCTTAGTAGCCTGTGAGGGCGGCCGTCGCTGGGCTCTGAGCCAAGCAGGGGCACGGAAGGTCTTCCGGGCCCAGCAGGGGGTCTGGCGCCCGGGTGACCATGGGTACCTGGGGGGGCTCACCTCCATGTGTGACCACGGATACCCGGGGGGGTGGTCTGACCTCCGTGGGTGACCACAGGTACCTGGGAGGGTCCGACCTCTGTGGGTACCCAGGAGTCTCACCTCTGTGGGTGAGCACTAGTACCCAGGGTGGCTTCACCTCCATGGGTGAGCACGTGGTAACTGGGGGGCCTCACCTCCATGGGTGACCACGGGTACCCGGGGGGTGTCTGACCTCCGTGGGTGACCACATGGTAACTGAGGAGGCCTCACCTCCGTTTGTGAGCACGTGGTAATGGGGTGGCCTCAACTCCGTGGGTGAGCATGGGTACCTGGGAGGGGCCTCACCTCCACGGGTGACCACGGGTACCCGGGGAGCCTCCCCTTCATGGGTGACCAGAAAGCCTTCCGTGATTGCACCTCCGGTATACTTGACTCCTGACACTTCCTGGGTCTCTTCCCCTTCAACTGAAGTGAACAGCCAGAGGCCCAGGGGGTCAAGGTGGGCTGCTCTGTGTCCCCCACCCCTCAGCAGAGCCACATTGCTGACAGCAGCGCAGGAACTGGGGTCCACAGCTGTGCCATGGAAGACACAGTGCTGGGGGCGGAAGTCAGACCCAACTTCCTTCCGGGTCACTCCCCAGGCCCGCAGTTCTGGGGCGGGAGCGCCATTGGGGTCTCCCCGTGCTGGCCGGGAGTACCCAAGCCACCCCTGCAGCCAGAGTCCAGAGCAGAGCTTGGGCTGCAACCCGGGATCTGATGGGGGAGCGGGAGTCCTCCTGGCCTGCCCTGGGGTCCCGCACATAGTGCTCCCCTCTCGGGTTCGACCGCTGAGCTCCGACCTGAGCGCTGGGCGCCGCATCCAGTGGGGACCTCAGGGCCCGTGTTTTGTGCGGGGATTGAGACCAGGGCATCCCGGGTCAGGCTGTGTTCCGGGGCCAGCTCCCTGCGCATGTGCACCTTGGGAGCAGCTGGTGAGGGCTCAAGTGCGGGGGGTAGGGGGGCTGCAGTTCCAGCATCCCATATGGGCACTGATTTGAGTCCTGGCTGCTCCACTTTTGATCTAGCTCCCTGCTAACATGCCTAGGAAAGCAGCACAAGATGGCCCAAGTACCTGAGCTCCTGAAACCACGTGGGAGACTGGGAAGAAGATCCTGGCTCCTGGCTTTGGATCAGCCCAGCTCAGACCATGTGGCCCCTTGGGGAGTGAACCAGAAGGTGGAAACGCTCTCTGTCTCTCCCTCTCTCTCTCTGTCTCTTCCTCTTTCTGTAACTCTGCCTTACAAATAAATAAATACATCTTAAAAAAAAAGAAACAAACTGGGATGGAGGAGCTGGTAGGCTCTAAACACAAAGAAAAGGAAAGAGAAGGCCTAGTTCTATTGCTTGCTCAGTTTATGATGTGTTTGTATTCAAATATTCCACTATACCCAATAATAATATACAAGTGGCATATGGAAGACCTTTCTCTTTCTCTCCCTCTCACGGCCTGTGACTCTACCTCTCAACCAAATAAATAAAAATCTTTAAAAAAAAAAATAGATCAGGCACTCATGTTGAGGTTGTCACTGAAGGCACAAGCCTCCTGCACAGCTGGGTAGCAAATGTCTTTTCAAAGATGTTGTCCTGGATGGCAGAAAACTGGATCCAGGGTTTGTGGGTGTCCAGGTCAAAGCCTGTGGAGAGCCCCTGCAGAGATCCAGGCTAGCAGCATGGGACCAGCTCCCCACTGGGTCCTTGCATGCCAGCCCCCACTCCCAGAAGCCTCCCAGGCTTCTACACAGGGTCCCCCTTCATGTTTCAGATGAGTTAGCAGATGTTGGCAGTGCGGGGTGCAAATGAGGCTCTTTGGCTAGAGCCCAGCAGTTCTCCCATCTGGGTTGCTCTGGCGCTCAGAAAGGCATGTGGTCACCACATGGATCTCATTCTCATCTGGGAATAAGAGGGCCCTCCCACAGCCTGTGCTCCTCTCTGGACCCCTCCCTTGCACAGCCCCGTTTTCTGAGGAATAGCGGACATGTCTTTCACTCATGGTCACGGCCCTGATAGCATTCCGGTCTGATTAGTACAATGACTTGCTTGCTTTCTTGAAGTCCTTCCTCTTTCCATACAAAAAACTCTTCAAGAAAGAGAGCACATCTTGTTCCTTTGGGATCCCTGACCCCTAAAAAAAGGTTCAATATACATCAGAAGCTTAGCAAGTATCCACCAAGGAGCAGAGCTGAGGATGGGGTGCAGTGATGTGGACACCTGTGGAGCTCCCCAGTGTAGGCAGCCAACACCGAGCTCTTCCTGCAGCCCACCTGCTCAAAATGCTCACCAGGACACCCTGCAAGGAAGCCACACAGGAGTCTGCCTCTTGCAAAGCAAGGGAAAGGGGGGGCAGCAGCCCTCACTCTGGAGGCTCAAGACTGCCAGTTCTCCCACTAAGTCTTCTCTCTAGGCCCCAGTTACATTGGAGCAAAAGAATTCTCCACTTAGAGGGTGATTGCTGCCCCTATGACTGATGCTTTGTTGAATCAAGAGGATCCTGGCTCAGTGACTCCTGTCCTTCCTCCAGGAAGTCCACCAACACAGCAGCAGGGACCCTGAGAATACCTGTGGTATCCGGCAGTCCAAGTGTCAGGTCCCACCTCCCATGATCTTCATAAGGAGCCCTCCACAGCTGTGCCCCGTCCTGCCAGTGTACCTGGAAGGCATGGGCCAGGTAGGGTGGATGTAGCCTATTGAGAAGGTGGCAAGTACCCAGGAGCTGCTGGACTTTACTGCAGGTCCCATGGGTCATTGGGGTGCTAAGCAGTCACAGAAAAGTAGGATAGCCAGCGCTCTCTATCTTCAGCCTCATCAGGTTCTTGACACTCAGTAGGAAGGACTCCTGAGCAAGAGTGCTCAAGGATCCTGGGGACAGTCAGCTGTTGGATGAGAAGGCACGGATGGGCCAGGGTCCGTGGGATAAGTGTGGTCAGAAGAGTGTTTTGCTTACAATGCCATTGCAGGATCAGCACTAGAGCTGGGACTGGGAGGAGGAAGCCATAACCAAGGTGAAAGGCTTCTGGGAGTGGTCAGGAGGGGAATGAGCCAGTTGCATGTCTCCTGCCAGTACTTCTAGCCCTACAGGCCCTGGGCCTGCCCCTGGGGACAAAGCAAATGGAAGGAGGTCTAGCATGGGGGGATGGAAAGCAAGAAGGAAGCTGTGATTCAGAGGCACCAAGCTGGCCTTCTGGGGACAAGAGGGAAGAAAAGAAAGGGAGGCACATGCTGGCTGACTTAGATAACATACCCCTCAGCTACAATAACCCACATACCTCCTGGGAATCAACTCCTCTTCTTGCCTGTACATCTTATCCCCAGGGTGTTTTCTAACAGAAAGTCTTCCACATTGACCTAATACATTTTCTAGACTACCTATACTGTTTCTTTCTCTTTAATTTTCATATATTTGAGAGGCAGAGAAACAAAGATAAAGAAAGAGGCTGTGGCACATGGGTTAAAGCCCTGGCTTGAAGCGCCGGCATCCCATATGGTGCCAGTTCTAGTCCCTGCTGCTCCTCTTCTGATCCAGCTCTCTGTTATGGCCTGGAAAAGCAGTAGAAGGTGGCCCAATTCCTTGGGCCCCTGCACTCATGTGGGAGACCCAGAAGAAGCTCCTGACTCCTGGCTTCAGATTGGCTCAGTTCTGGCCATTGTGGCCATCTGGAGTGTGAACCAGCAGATGGAAGACCTCTCTCTCTGTCTCTACCTCTCTCTGTAAATCTCTCTTTCAAATAAATAAAATAAATATTTTAAAAAAAGTGGCAAAAAGGTCCTATGTACTTATTCACTCCCTAACAGACTACAACAGCCAAGGCTGGGCCAGGCTGAAGCCAGGAGCCCACAGCCCAATATGGGTTCCTATGTGGGTGGTATCAGTATTTGAGCCATGACCTGCTACCTCCCAGGAAGCTGGAATCTGAACTGGAGGTGGGACTTGAACTCAGGCTCTCTGATAAGGGATGTTTGCATCACAGGTAGTATTGTTAATTGTTGCATCACAATCCTTCTCCCAATTTTACACAAAAATCCACCTCAGATTCCATTAAATTCACCTCAAGTACTATAGGATTAATCAATATTTGAATTATATGCAGCTCCTATATACTAGCCTACATCTTATAAAGCTTCAAACTATTCTACTCTCTATCTCCACTGATTATAGAAGGTGGTGGGAATCACTTCTGTGATTTCTTTAAGTGAAGAAAAACCCATTTATCTTTTTGGCATATGGAAATTAATTTTAATAAACAGAAGGTTATCTGTCCACCTTAAGAATCAAATACAAGAAACTGCACCTGCAACAGTGACGAGTGCAATGCCTTGAAGGTTCATATAAAAAGGGGATTAGGGATGGATGATTGGTGCAGCAGTTGAGAGACCCACATCCTATATCAGTGTGCCTGGTCCAAGTCTCATTTCCATGCCAATCCAGGTTGCTGCTAATGCACACCCTGAGAAGGCAGCAGAAGACAGTGTCACAGGGAAATGGTGGCAGCAAACTTTTGGGGGGAACATTTTCTACCCTCAATTTCCAGACTGCTTATTAACCCATGACTCCTCTCAAAATAGCTCAGAAATCTGGGTCCCTGCCACCCACATGTTAGACTCTGATTGAGTTCTAGCCCCCTGCCCAGCCCTGCTTGTTGTGATCATTTGAAGTGCGGGGGAGGTAGTGAATGAATGAATGGAATTTCTGTCTCTGTCATTCAAATAAAATATAAATAATTAGATACAACTTTTTTTTTGACAGGCAGAGTTAGACAGAGAGAGAGCAAGAAAAAGGTCTTCCTTCCATTAGTTCACCCCCCAAATGGCCGCTATGGCCAGCACACTGTGCCGATCCAAAGCCAGGAGCCAGGTACTTCCTCCTGGTCTCCCATGCAGGTGCAGGGACCCAAGCACTTGGGCCATCCTCCACTACCTTCCCGGGCCACAGCAGAGAGCTGGCCTGGAAGAGGGGCAACCGGGACAGAATCCAGTGCCCCAACTGGGACTAGAACCTGGGGTGCCAGCCCCACAGGCAGAGGATTAGCCAAGTGAGCCACGGTGCCGGCCAATTAGATACAATTTTAAAACTAAATAAAAAGAAGACTGAATCTGTTATGCCTTTTTTTTGGCAGTATTCAGTTACTGAGAAAGTTTAGTTGTAAACAAAATGCTTTGAGCATTCTTAAAATTCCACCTGATGGCAGTTATATGGACTGGTTTAAGTCAAAATCAAAAATGACCTTTAAGAATTTTATTTCGGGGGACCAGCATTGTGTCACAGAGGGTAAAGCTGCTGCTTGCAATGTCAGCATCCCCTATGAGTGCGGGTTAGTGTCCTGGCTGCTCCATTTCGATCTAGCTCCCTGCTAATGGCCTGGGAAAGCAGCAGAAAATGGCCCAGGTACTTGGGCCTCTGCTACCCATGTGGGAGGCCAGATGAAGCTCCTGGCTCCTGACTTCATTGAGGCCATCTGGGGAGAGAGCCAGTGGATGAAAGATTCTCTCTTCTCTCTCTCCCTACATCCTTCCCTCTTCTCTCTCTCTCTTTCCCTCCTTCACTCCCTTCTTCCCTCTTCTCTTCCTCTCTCACTATAACTCTGACATTCAATTAAATAGACTTCGTGGCTGCCTAATAAGCTGTTGTTTCAATTTTAGCCACTCTACACAAACACAACATCTTACACAGAAATAGCTAAAGTGTGTTTCATTGCATGTACACAAGCAGAATAGAGTAAATTTATGTGTGGGAATCTGATGGCCAGAGGAAAAGTGGATGCTTTAGAGAGGTCACTTCAGAAAGAAGGATAAGAGGGCAATGATTTTGCCTAATATTCCTCTTCCTCCCTTTCTGTCTTCCACCACAATCCATGGCCCAACTCAGTGCTCAGGCACATCAAGAAGACCCTACTTTCCACTATCATCTGATGTATGAGCAAGAGAATATGATACCCTCATTTTCATAACACCCAAGTGTCATTTTCTCTAATTGTTGTCTTTTCAGAAGCAGAGACAGAGATAGAAAAGTAAATAGAGTTCCCAACTGCTGGTTTACTCTCCAAATGGTCAGAACTGACCCCTGCTGAAGCTTGTAAGCCTAAAACTCCAGGTATCCCATGTAGGTGTCAGGAACTGAACTATTAATGCCATCGCCGTTGCTTCTTAGGTTCTTCACTAGCAAGATGCAAGAGTCAGAAATCAGCTGATAACTGAATGCCAGTACCATGATATGGGACATGGGGGTCTCAGCTGGCATCTTAACCACTAGGTTAAATGCCCACTCCCTTGTGTTCTTATTTTTTTTAAGGATTTATTTGTTTATCTGAAGGCAGAGAGAGAGAGAGAGAGAGAGAGAGAGAGAGAGGTCTTCCATCCACTAGTTCACTCCCCAAATAGCCACGACAGCCGCAGCTATGCTGATCTGAAGCCAGGAGCCAGGAGCTTCTTCCAGGTCTCACATGTGGGTGCAAGGGCCCAAGGACTTGGGCCATCCTCCACTGCTTTCCCAAGCCATAGCAGAGAGCTGTATCAGAAGTGGAGCAGCTGGGACTCAAACTGGAACCCATATGGCATGCCAGCACTGCAGGTGGTGACTTCATCTGCAATGCCAAAGCACTGGCCCCCTGTGTTCTTATTTTTGATATGATGTTTGCAAAGGGAGTCACACTATCAATAGCATATTTTCTGATGGTCACAGCTAACCAACTAGTATATGTTTTCTTAGAATATGGAGAAGAAAAGATCATTTGAAATAATTCCTCTATCCAATATTATTTGATCTCTTAGTTTCACCTAGTTTCCTAGGTGAATGTTCACACCTTGATGAGCCCAAAGGTACAAGTTTGCTTCCTTCTTTCCACTTTGAGGAATCATTCTTAAGTGGAGGATCAGGTAGGAAGAAGAGGGGAATACGGAGAGGAGAACTCATTGATCACTGCACACTTCATAGTTCTCAACTGGAGGGATGGACAATATTCCAAAATATGTGTGACCAAAGGAAGACTGTAGAACTTTGAAAACTGATTGTACATTCATTGTACCCAGATGTGATATGAATTATGCATGAATGCAGTATTACTTATTTTTTTTTTTCAGAGAGAGACACACATTACCACAATGAGATAGATACCCATGACAAGTTACTTGTGGGGGAATGATGTTTATTTTCCCTTATGGTTTTGTTGGTATATTTTGTAGGTAGCTAATTGCTTCCACAAGGCCCCAGCTCTAGACATCACAATCGGATTATGTTTCCACCCATTTACTGTCATTAACATAAGACTTGGGGAACCAAACCTTTAAAGATGTGCCTTTGGGCCCACACCCTAACTAATATCCAAACCATAGTGAATGAGGTGGGCAGGTTCAGTTAAGTGCCTAGCAGCAAGTTTGAAGGAAAGGAAGCAAATGCGGTAATTTCTGAGGGTTAAAAAAGAATTATCTCAGCAAAATAGCTTTCCAAGTCAGTTCCTCTTTTGGCTAATCTTTCTGTGCACACTTTGCCCCATGGTTATCAGCAAGACGATTTGCTGAAGAGCAAGTGGGCAAGCACACCTAGAGCTGGATTTGGACGAGGTCACTGCCTCACAAAAGTGTCCATCCTGCCCCTGTCTTTTTCCTGCAACTTTATCAGTTGAAAGGCTACTTGGAGGGGCAGCACTGTGGCATAGCGGGAAAAGCCACCACCTGCAGTACCAGCATCCTATATAGGTGCCGTTTCGAGTCCTGACTGCTGCACTTCTGATCCAGCTCTCTGCTGTGGCCTGGGAAAGCAGTACAAGATGCCCAAGCACTTAGGCCCCTGCATCCACATGTGAGACCTGGAAGAAGCTCCTGGCTCCTGGCTTTGGATTGGCACAGCTCCGGCCATTGCAGTCAATTGGGAAGTGAACCAGTGGATGGAAGACCTCTCTATCTGCCTTTCCTTCTCTCTCTGTGTAACTCTGACCTTCATATAAATAAATAAATTTAAAAAAGAAAGGTTACTTGGAGTGGTATGAGTCTGAAGGGTGGGAAGGGAACAAGAGGTATGCCCATCCATGCCAATTGACATCTGATTATCTTTCCAAAAATCACATGTAATGTATGTGGAATTAAATAATAAGGAGTCTCTTTTATCTGGCTTCCTTCATTTGACATGTTTTTGAGGTTCATTCATGTAACCTATATCAGTAGTTAGTCAATATGTTTAAAAAAGAGAATTTTGTTCAGAAACAATTCATATAACAGAACAAAACTTACAGCATATAATTCAATGATTTTGGCATATTCTCAGATATATTCACAATGAATTTTAGAACATTTCATCTCACAAAGAAACCCTGTGCCCTTTATCAATCCCTTATTCTTGCAAAGTGCCCCCATTCAACTCCAATTCGTTTTTTGTTTGTTTGTTTGTTTGTTTGTTTTTTTGACAAGCAGAGTGGACAGTGAGAGAGAGAGACAGAGAGAAAGGTTTTCCTTTTCCGTTGGTTCACCCCTCAATGGCCGCTGCAGCCGGCATGCTGTCGCTTGCGCACCATGCTAATCCAAAGCCAGGAGCCAGGTGCTTCCTCATGGTCTCCCATGGGGGTGCAGGGCCCAAGCACTTGGGCCATCCTCCACTGCCCTCCCAGGCCACAGCAGAGAGCTGGACTGGAAGAGGAGCAACCAGGACAGAATCCGGCTCCCCAACTGGGACTAGAACCCAGGGTGCCGGTGCCACAGGCGGAGGATTAGCCTATTGAGCTGTGGTGCCAGCCTCAACTCAAATTCTAATCTATGATATGCCTCTATAGATTTTTTTCTTTGCATGCTTTGAGCTCTTTAATGTTTTTAAATTTATTTTTTAAGTAATACAAATTTCATAAGTACAACTTCAGGAATATAGTTATTCTTCCACCTCCTCCTCCTCCATCTATAGATTTTCCTATTCTGGACTCTCATATGAATTGAATACTATAATATGGACTTTTGTGACCATTTTAATCACTTGTGTGTGTCTATAACTATGTCAGTGAGTACATTCACATTGTTGCAATTCCATCTTCACTACCATCTCCAGTATGTTTTCATGTGCCCAAGCCCAAACTTTGTACCCATTAGGTGACATTCTATTTTAGGGAAAGAGAAAACTGTATGAAAAGAATTTATGGAAATTGAATATCTGGGTACTGATTTCGATTAAATTATCCTTGCTGTGACTACCTGGGGAAGTGTACTTACATCCCAGTGTGCTGTCATGGATGACTCTCCAACACCGTCTCTAATCTCCTTTACCTTCTCTCCTCACTCGCTTTTGATGACATTGCTTCTCAATAAGCAGAATAAATAAGGGCACCAACCACCACACCTACCCATTAATAGGAGCAGTGGGTACTCTGCCTTCCCTTCCCCTATTAAATATGAACTGTCTGTCCTCTCGTGGCCCATTCCTTGACATGGATCTAGATCTTTTTTTCATTCAACTACTCAAGGACAGTGGACCTACCAGCCATTTACACATTTAACTGAAATTTTTGCCTCTCTCTTAAATCAGCAGCAGCAGCTTATACATCAGGCTACATTATTTGGTAAATCAAAAGCAAAACCTGAGCACCCTTTTCCCATCAGCTACTGCCCCAATTCTCTGTTCCTTTGTACAGAAAAAAATCACCAAAGAATTACCTGCAGTTTCTGTCTCCACTTTCTCTTCTCTCAGTCCCTCTGAACACACTCTAATAAGGCTTTTGATCACATACTCTGCTGCACTGCTCTTTTCAAGGTCACTAATAACCTTCAAGTTAAACTAAATGAATGAAATTAAATGGTAATTCTTTAGACCTTATTTCTCCTACCATTCACCGTTATTTATTACTGTACACCATTTCCCCCACATTTAATAGCTTAAAAGCAAGAAACATGTCATCTTCTCTGGGCGAGAAATCCAGAAATGTTGACATACATAGTTCTGTACCTGGTTTCCACAAGCAGCTGCATCGAGCTCTTGGCTGGGCTGCAGTCATCTGAAGGTATGGCTGAGGCTGGCAGATTCATGTCCAGTACACTCACTCGTGTGCCTAGAAACGCAGTGCTGGTTGTTAGCAGTCGGCCTCAGTTGTGCACCATGTGGATTTCTCTGTGAGGGCTGTCTGAGCGCTCCCAAAGTTGTGATGCTGGCTTATTCTCCAGAACTTATTTAAAAGAGAGCAAAGGAGAAATTTAAATATCTTTTAGGATCTGGCCTCATAAGTCCCACTCCATAGTTTCTGGAATATCTTCTGGATTACGTAGGTGAGTCCTAGTCAGTGTGGGAAATGACTGCACTGGGGCAGGAGCACCAGGACATGAGTCATTGGGAGCCATCCTGGAAACTGACACAGTGGTATGACTCCATTGATTGTTCCCTTCCTCTCCTTCCTCTGTCAGTCCCGTTTGTTTTTGTTCTTGTTCCTGTTTCAGTTCTTCTTCTTCTTCTATGTCCCAATGTTATTTTTAAAAAGGTTTATTTTATTTATTTGCAAAGCAGAGTTTACAGCAGAGAGGGAGAGATGGAGGAAGATAAATAAATATATATGCATATATATGTGTGTGTGTATATGTATATATATATATAGAGAGAGAGAGAGTGAGAGAGAGAGAATATGCCATCCACTAGTTCAGTCCTTAAATGGCCTCCACTTTGGGCTTGGCAAGGCCAAAGCCAGGAGCCTGGGACCCCATCCAGGTCTGCCATGTGGGTGGTAGGGGCCCAATTACTTGGGTCATCCTCTGAAATTTTTCTAGATGTATTTGCAAGGAGCTGAATCAGAAATGGAGCAGCCAGGACTGGAACTGGGACTAATGGAATGCTGGCCTTGTGGGCAGTAGCTTAACATGCTGTGCCACAACATATTAATGATATATGGATACAATTGTAGTTTTTGACATTCAGTGAAAGGAAAGGCCATCACAAAAAACATCTTAAAAATATTAAGAAAATTAATTAGCCAATAGGCACTTTCAAGAAATTAAAACAGAAGCATCTTTACAGAGTTCATAGAACTTACAAAGATGTTAAGAGAGCTTTATGAAATTCTTAGGGGTGAAAATTTGACTACAGACACTAAAATCCACTATATTCTGAAAAACAGTTCCCGAAACACAAATATAACATAGAATTAAAAAACTATACAAACTAAATAAACTGAGCCAATTTTTGAAGAACTTGAAAATGACTTATGGAATATTCCAAACTTTTAAGGAAGGAAAAAAACATTTGTTTCCCACACTTTTCCCAAGTGAAAATAAGTAGAATATTTTTAAATTTCTTTTGGGAAACCACTATTACACAGATGATGAAACTCGGAATATGATACAAATTAAAGTGAAATTAAAGAGCTTCTTGTTCAAAAAGATATGCAAATATTCTTTTTTTAAAGATTTCTTTTATTTATTTGAAAGACAGAGTTACAGAGAGAGGTAGAGACAGAGAGAGAGGTCTTCCATCCACTGGTTCACTGCTCAGATGGCCTCAATGGCTGGAGCTGCGCTGATCTGAAGCCAGGAGCCAGGCACTTCTTCCAGGTCTCCCATGTGGGTGCAGGGGCCCAAGGACTTGGGCCAGCTTCTACTGCTTTCCCAGGCCATAGCAGAGAGCTGGATTGGAAGCAGAGCAGCTGGGACTAGAACTGGTGCCATATGAGAAGCCAGCACTTTAGGCCAGGGCTTTAACCTGATGCGCCACAGTGCTGGCCCCGATATGCAAATATACTAACCAAATATTATATAAATTTGGGCCCCTTGCTGTGGCATAGTGGGTAAAGTCATTGCCTACAGTGCTGGCATCTCATATGGGCACAGGTTCATATCCCGGCTGCTTCACTTCCAATCCAGCTCTCTGCTATGGTCTGGAAAAGCAGTGGAAGATGACCCTAATCCTTAGGCCCTTGTACCTGTGTGGGAGACCTGGAAGACGATCCAGGCTCCTGGCTTTGGATCAGCCCAGCTCCAGCCATTGCAGCCATTTGAGGAGTAAACCAGCAGACGAAGACCTCTCTCTCTCTCTCTCTCTGCCTCTGCCTCTCTGTAACTCTGCCTATCAAATAAATAAATAAATATTTTAAAATATTATATAAACCACATATGAAAAACTAATAGATCAATGACAAGCAAGATACACTAAAAAGTGCAAGAGTATTTAACATTCTCAAAAAAACCATGTAAATCATCCAGGTAGGTGAAGAATACAAGGGATTACATGATCACTTAGATTAAATGTTTAAAAATCATTTAATAAAATTCTGCATCCAGCCATAAAAGTCAAATGTTAGAAAAATATTTAAAAATAATGATTTGCTTAATCAGATCAAGATTATCTAAAATTAGCATGCAATAAATTACTTAAGGAGCACTGAGAGATTTTTCCTTGGACGCCCACCTCTCATAACATTGTACTCGACCTATAGTCAGGGAAACAGACATGTAAGATAAAAGAATCACATTTTTTGCAATACAATTGTTAATATATGTGGATGACATTACATACAAAGATAATTCAATCTAATCCCCAAACAAATGCAACTGATAATTAGCTATAGCAACACTTTTGGGCAGTAAATCCACATATAAAGCCAATTGGATTACTAAGTACCAGCAAGAAACAAAGTGGACAAAAGACAGACTAGGAAACACATATTTACAAAAGAAATGAATCAGAAAAGGATTCAATTATCTAATCTTTATGCACTCTTCAAATCAATTTATAAAACGTAAATGACCATACAGAAAAATGACCCAGGAATGTGAAGAAAGACAAGGGCCCAGGAGTCACAGTCAGCAAATAGAGACTCACCTGCAGCAGGTCATTGCAGGCTCCAGCTCACTGATCCCTGTGGGAACAGAGGTGCAGCCACCTGGGCTGCAGTGGAAGACAGAAAGGGGGAGGAGGCGGCTTCAGACCAGAGCCCAAGCTTCTCCCCCTCACAACCCCCACACTGCGCCACCACAAGTCACCGCCCTCCTCTGATTGCTACACCTTTGTGACCTCGAACTCCAACGCTCCCCCTCCAGCTTTGCAAACAATCCAATCAGGTGCGGTTACACAGTATTAAGTAAACACTCAGGCTCTACGCATCACAGTGGTAGTCAGGCTCTGCCGCCCAGGGGCCCAGGGTATTCAGCCTCTGCCCATCTGTGAAAAGGAAGCCAGACAGCTCAGAAGCTTGGTGTCTGGAGAAGGGGAGGCAGAGTTGGCTGACCTGCTGGAATTGGCTGCAGGGGGCCCTGCACTACCCAGTGGTCAGCTCTGGAATCTGTGGCCATGGCCTTGGGCAAAGTACAGTGAGTGGCGAGCTTGATCATCTTCCCCTTTACCTCCAGGCCAGGGAGGCCAGAGCACAGCCTGCAGGGGAACAATGCTGAGGTGATGTTTCCAGGTCTCTTGATGACATTTTTTGCTAAGAATGCAATTTTTCTTCTCAATCAGCATGGTATGTTAAAGTGAATCTGTTGGGGCCGGTGTTGCGGTGCAGCAGGGTAAGCCATAGCTAGGGGGCATCCCATTTTGGATGGCCAGTTTGAGGCCCAGCTCCTCTGCTTGTGATCCAGTTACCTGCTAGTGTTGACTTTTAGGATATCAATACAATTCATTTGAACTCATTGTTTTTCAAGTATTAAGCTGGCGCCGTGGCTCACTAGGCTAATCCTCCACCTGCGGTGCCAGTACCCTGGGTTCTAGTCCCGGTTGCTCCTCTTCTAGTCCAGCTCTCTGCTGTGGCCCGGGAGGGCAGTGGAGGATGGCCCAAGTGCTTGGGTCCCTGCACCTGCATGGGAGACCAGGAGGAAGCACCTGGCTCCTGGCTTCGGATCGGTGCAGCGCCGGCTGTAGCGGCCATTAAGGGAGTGAACCAACGGAAGGAAGACTTTTCTCTCTGTCTCTCTCTCTCTCACTAACTCTGCCTGTCAAAAAAAAAAAGAAAGGAAAGAAAGGAAAGAAAGGAAAGAAAGGAAAGAAAGGAAGGAAGGAAGGAAGGAAGGAAGGAAGGAAGGAAGGAAGGAAGGAAGAAGAAGAAAGAAGAAAAGAAAGAAAGAAAGAAAGAAAGAAAGAAAGAAAGAAAGAAAGAAAGAAAGAAAGAAAGAAAGAAAGAAAGAAAGAAAATGAAGTTGGCAAGTGTAAATGTGTTGGCAAGTGTTTTGGTAGAGTTTGAAAAATATTGTTATTACTTCTTTAAATGCTTGATAGAATTCACAAAGGAAACCATCTGGTCAGGACTTTGTGGTAATGTTTTAAATTGCTGATTACATTTATTATTATTATTATTATTATTATTTGATTTTTGACTGCTTTAGGCTACTAATATTTTTAGTTTCTTCTCGAGAGTGACAATTTGTATTTTTCGAGCAATGTATGTATTTCATATAAATTGTTGGATCTTTTGAAATATTGATTCACAATATTCCTTTATAATCTTTTAAATTTCTGTAAAATTATTGGCAATATACCCTTCTTCATTTCTTAGTTTATGAACCATGTCTCTTCTGTTTTGGTCTTGGTGTAAGAAAAATCATCCCATCTTGTTGACCTCCACAACAAACCAATTTTTGTTTCACTGCTTTTCTCTTTTGCTTGATGCCCCATACTTAAAGAGGTCTAGCAATGTAACTATTTCTGTGTGGACATCTATATCTTATAACTGACTGGGAAAAGCAAGAAAGGTACAGAAGAATAAAATTCAAGTCCCTGAAAGGCTGTAGTAGAGAAGAAGTGATCAGATTCTTCTACTCACCTAAAAGTGGAACTCCTATCTGGAGTAGACAAGGCACAGAGAAGCAAGCATGCACATGATTTGCCCCTGTTTTGTAACACACACTGTAGACTCAGACAGATTTGGGCCCAGATGCTAAACTAGATGCTCTGCTACCTGCATGTATATAGTCATATTTTACACATAGTTCTTTTGATTTCCCTAAAAGCAATGGTGAATTTTTTTCCATAAATAAGATAACAAACCATCATCATGTAGACATCCATGAAAGGATTGAAGTTGTGAGAACTAGGTGTTTGGTGCAGTGGTGATGGTACCATTTGGGATGCCTGTAGCCCATATTCAGATGTGTGGTTTCATGGTTTAACTTTGCTTCCAATTCCATCTTCCTGCTAATGTGCACCGTGGGAAGCAGCAGGTAGTGACTCAAGTAATCTGGTCCCTGCCACACCCATGGGAGACCTGGATTAGGTTCCCAGCTTCTAGCTCTGAACTGGTGCACCCACAGGTCTTTCAGGCATTTGGGTAATGAACCTGTGGATGTGAAACCTGTGTCTGTCAGTTAGGTTATCTGTCTTGCTGTCTCTCTGCTAGTAAAATAAATGGATGTAATAAAGTTAATAGTGGTGGGTCCTGTGGCACAGCCGGATAATTCCCTTGCTTGAAGCACTGGCATCCCATATGGGTGCCAGATTGTGCCCCAGCTGCTCCAACTCTCTGCTATGGCCTGGGAAAGCAGTACTAGATGCTCAAGCACTTAGGCCCCTGCACTCACATGTGAGACTTGGAAGAAGCTCCTGGCTCCTGGCTTCAGATCAGCTCAGCTCCAGCCATTGTGGCCAGCTGGGGAGTGAACCCTCAGATGGAAGACTTCTCTCTCTTTCTGCCTCTCCTCTCTGTGTAACTCTGCCTTTCAAATAAATGAATACATCTTTTAAAAAAAAGTTAATTACTTATCACTGCAAGGAATGCAGAGTTTGGAATTTGACTTTAGCCTATTGACTACATTGTAAAACAAAAATCATTTGAGAAATATAACAGTAATCAATTTCTATAACATAATTTATAATATCCAAGAAGAAATTCAGAATCAACACCCAGGTAAAGAAAAAAAATGTGATTCATAATCAAAAGGAAAAAGAATCACTAGAAAGAAACTTAAGTTAACCCAGATTTTGAAAGTAAAATATAAGATGTTTTATACTATATGTTTATAATATAAAGGATGATATATCAAAAAACAACTGGAAAAACAATGGAAATTCTAGAGCTGTATGATACAGTAATAAAATAAAAAATACATGTGGACTAAATCACAGGTTACAAAAGACAAATAATAACCCATATTTTAGCTTTAAAAATGCCATGGTTTTTTTTTAAATATTTATTTTATTTATTTGAAAGACAGTTACAGAGCAAGGTAGAGCCGGGGGGGGGGTTCTTCCATCTGCTGGTTCATGCCCCAAATGACTGCATGATTATTAGACTGATTAATAATTAATAATAATAATATATTTTATATATAATATAAATTATATATATTTATATATTATATATATATTATATATATTATTATTATATTATTAGACTGAATTTATTCAGAGAAAATAAATCCACAGAGGTGGGTGACCAACTGTAGGCGTGCACATTGGTGGAACACATGGCAGGAGGCCCCAGACACAAGTGCCCAGCCTTTTTTATCTTAGGAGGGCTAGGGGTGGGGGTGGGAGTAGGGGCAGTTGATGAGACTGCCCTTACTCCAGGGGTTGGTTTTAGCTCCTTTGTCAAAGATAAGTTGGTTATAGATGCGTGCATGGATTGATTTCTGGAGTTTCTATTCTGTTCCATTGGTCTACACATTTTTTTTTTTTTTTGGCCAGTACTAGGCTGCTTTGATTTTAACTGACCTGTAATATGTCTTGAAAGTGGTATTGTGTTTCCTCCAGCTTTGTTCAACTCTGATGTTCATCAACTGAAGACTGGATAAAAAATATGATGGTATATATACACTATGGAATACTATTCAATGGTTAAAAAAAATAAACTCCTGTCTTTTTCAACAAAATGGATGCAAGTAGAAACCATTATGCTTAGTGAAATAAGCATAATGTCCCTAAAAGACAGATACCATACATTTCCCTTGACCTGTGGTTACTAATAGAATACCTAAAATGTAATGCATACGGAGTGAAATTGACACTTTAAGATTTGAGGAACATTTACAGCCCTTGTCTCTACTATTGAGAAACCGTGTTTTTTTTCTTCGTACTATTTGTTGAACTCTTTACCTAGTGTAGGATGAATCTTATGAGTATAAAATAAACTGAAAATATATCTTTGTAAAAAAATGAGTGGGAATGGCAGAGGGAAGAGGAAGAAGGATGGGAGTGGGCAGGATGGAGACTAGAGTGGGAAACATCACTATGTTTCTAAATCTATCTATATGAAATACATGAAACTTGTATACTTTAAATAGCTTTTAATGATACCACTTTTAAGTAAATTTTAGACTTCCAATTTTATCATATTATGGAGTTTTCAAAAATTAATGCATGTATATCATTCACTTTTTATTTTTCTTCTATGTCTAGATTTTTACAAATTTTTTATTTATTCTTGGCTTCTTTTTTCTCACTTTTCCTGGCCTAGGCGCAATGACATCTGAAGTCACAGTTTTAATATCGTGTATTGCTGTTACATCATAGCATGGACCTTCTAGCTATCTGCAGGAAAAGTAGACAAAGATGAGAGTGTACTTACTTGTCATGGTTCCTATAATAAATTACCACTTATAGGGTGGTTTAAGTGATAGTACCTTATGACTCATGGCTCTGGAGGTTGGAAGTTCCACATGGAATGATAGCAGGATTTCTTCCTCCTGGGAATTCTCCCCCAGGCTTCCAGGTGGCCACCATCTTGCTGTGTCCTCACATGGCATTTCTTCTATCCACACCGGTGCCTCTCCTTGGAAGAATACCAGCCAGCTTGGATTATGGCCTCTCCCTTTTGATAACGTTTGACTTTAATAACCTCATTAAAATCCCTGTCTCAAAATAGAGTCACACAGGGGCTCAGGGATTTAATGTATAAACCTTGGGGAGAAAAAGTTTAGGCCACCACATTAGTAAGGGGCCCCGGGCTCTGCTGCATAGGCAACCAGCTCCGTAGGGACTCAGTGTTGAAAATGAGAGCAAGGGTTCCTCATAGTAATAATTTCATTCTCACTGCATAATCTGGGAACACACACAGTCACACAAACATTTGTTTACATTTACACAAACTAGAATGGAAATATCTGGTGATCACGTACAGATAAAATTAATACAATCCATATTATGGAATATTCATTAAAACTGATGAGGGGGCTGGTGCTGTGGTTTAATGGGCTAAGCCTCTGCCTGTGGCATCAGCATCCCATAAGGATGCTGGTTCATGTCCCAGCTGCTCCTCTTCTGATTCAGCTCTCAGCTTATGGCCTGGGAAAGCAGTGGAAGATGGCCCAAGTGCTTGGAGCCCTGCACACACATGGGCGACCCAGAAGAAATCCTGGCTTTGGATCAG